CTGGGTCAGGATGTGTAGCCCTGGCTGTTGTCAAGAGTAATTAGCAACCTCCAAACTCTGACCATCAGACAAGGTGGAAATAGGCTCACATTCTTAGCCCCCTCTCCCAATGGCTTCTCCCATTCACCCCACCCCCACTTCTCGCTGGTCCCTAACTTCACGGCACACATATTCCACTGCTCTTTGTCCCTACCCCTTGAGATCTTTTTCTCCCTCTCTTGGTTCCCTTTCTACTTCTGTCACACATGATGACTCTGCATAGGAGACAGAACACGGGACAGCTGTCTGCTTCACACCACGACCTCCAGTTCCATTCTCTCTCCTGATTTCTGCTTCTTTATCTTCACTGGCATCCAGTGTCTGCTTTCTTGAGGATCGCCATTCTACCCAGGGTGAAGAAGAAGCTCAAAGTAGAAAAACTGACCAAGTGTCACAGAGAGAGTCCTTTGGGTTTTTAGTGTTCTCTCAGACCCCCCCATTCTAGAACATTTTTTTTTTAAAAAAAATCAGTTCTTTGAGAATATCATGCATATAAGTAATGCCAGACTTCTCTTTTAAAAATAAAGTGACTTCTACGAAGATTAAGGTCTTAGCATGTTGGAATGAAAACATTTTCATAATCTCTCTTTCATGAGAACCAGATTTAAAAGCAACAAGGGATTCATTTTCTGTTCTGGTGTAACCGAGTAAATGATCCTAATTTACATTCAGATGGTCCAGTGAATCGAAGGGTAGAGGAAGCCAAAGAGGGAAGGACTTTATGGCTGAGACAAATGGAGCCCCTGACTGATGCCCAGACAGTGATGGAAGCCGTGTGAGGTGAGGTCAGAAGGTGTTTTGAGGGGTAAAGATCCGGTGTCATTCTGAAGAACGCAAGCATTTAAATTTCAAAGCACTCTGTCATATTCTTTTAACTGGTCAGTGTGTTATTCCTTGCATATGGTGTGTGTGTGTGCTTGTGTGTGTGTGTGTGTGTGTGTGTGTGTGTGTGTGTGTGTGAACACCTGAGTGTCATTCCTCAGGTACTGTCCATCTTGTTTTTTGAGACAGGGTCTCTCACGTCTCCTGGAGTTCATCAATTAGGGTAGGCTGGTTGGCCAGCGAGCTCCAGGGATCTGTCTCTGTAGGCCTCCCCAGACTGGGATGACACCACACCCATGTTTTTAATGTGGGGTTTAAACCTGAGAGCTCATAGCTCCGCGGCAAGCATTTTACAGACTGAACTATCATTATTTCTTGCATATTTTAAGTGAAAAAAAATTGTGTTAAAATGTTCGTAACACAAAATTCATCAGTGTGGGTATTTTTAAGTGTTCACTGGTATTAATATATCTACTCCATTTATAACCACTGAATAGTTTGAATATCATATTTATAGGTCAGCATTTCCTAATGCCTGTGGTCTCTGAAGCTAATGGTTTTCCCTTGAGGAAAGAGGACTCAGTAGGAGGAGGCATTGCTGACTAATGGGTAGAAGTCCCTGGGAAGAAAAATTTGGCTCAACATGAGAAAGAACTTTCTGATCCAAGGGAACAGGAGGCCGGGGAGCTTGCCTTTGAAGGTGGAGAATGGCGAACAGGAGTCCTTAGACCACCTGTTGGGTGTGTTTGAGACGGATTCCTGTTCTGGGTGGGAGAGCAACCACTGGGCTTCCTTCCAGCCACAGGATCTTCTCATTGAGCTGACTGGGGATCTCTCCACTCTCGGGTTTCAGCCGAGCCGACCGGGGCTCAAGTGCTCTGGAGAGTCACACTTAGCATCAGGCATTGGCAGCTTTCGCCCTTTCCTGGAACGCTCGCTGCTATTTTAGTCTAAACCGCGCAGAAGCAATTAAAAGAGGGCTGGTGATCAGTTACGGGACAAGTGATGCGAGGCAAGGGACCCTCGCAAGGGAAGGGTTCAAAGAGCTCTGCCAGCCTCGGGTGGCTCCATTCCAATCCATGACCACTTGTGGCCAGGACAGCTTCTAAAGCAGAAACTTAAGCACGCACCCCCTCGGCCCCATTAAAGCTCTCCAGTGCCCTCCTTTACTTTCAAAGTGAAGTTCAAGGTTCTAAGAACCCCAGGCCACTGTGACCTCCTGAGTCTTGTCTTACCCACTTATGCCTTCAATTTAATCTCCAGTTGAGCTAGGTTTTAGTTCTCTATTTGTTGGGCTAATTCCTACATATTTCTCATGATTCTGCTCTGGGGTGGTCCCATAAAGAACCTGTCTTTACTGTCCCTATATGTTACCCAAGATGCTTCAGAGTGCCCCATGGCCACACACCCTAGAAACAGCATCTTCGGTGGCCTTTCAGGTATCCTGTGTTGATTCATATATCCCAGGAACCAAGAGATCAGAGGATTAGGACCAGCAAGATAGCTCAGTGGATAAAGGTGCCCATAGTCAAGCCTAAAGACTCAAGTTCAATCCCTGGGATCTACATGGTAGAAAGAGAACAGACTCCCACAAGCTAGCCTCGTACATGTACACATTAGTCATGGCACATTCATGAATTCCCCCACATGCGCATAAGTGTACAAATGCACACACATGCACATGCATGCATACGTACATACATAATTTAATTTTTAAAAAGGATTGAAGGATTAAAAAGTAATCTTGGACAAGAAAAGTTCTTTATACACATGATGTAAGACACAGAAGTGATTTTATAAAGAATACTAAATATAATCGTGATGATTACAGCGCTGGGGATTTAATTTCTTTCTCTCTCTCCACCCATCCATATCTATCTATCTATCTATCTATCTATCTATCTATCTATCCATCCATCCATCCATCCATCCATCCATCCATCCATCCATCTGTCTATCTACTTACCTACTTGCCAACCAGATATCTATCTGACACAAGGTCTCATGTAGCTAAAGAGGACCTCAAATTCTTGATCATCCTGCCTCTACCTGCAGCATGCTGGGATTACCATCATGTGTAACTATCCCCAGTTTTAAGCAGTGCTAGTGTGGTCAAATAGACTAAGCAAGCTCTCTATCAACTGATCCATATCCACAGCCCTCAAACATGCCTTTCATCTGGAACAGTAACATAGTAGGCTGTTATTATCCAAGGCTTAATCCTTTGCTAGTGGCCTTGGAGGTTGATAAGTATTCCTGAGACATGAATTTTGAGAGCCAACTGGTACTCATTGGTAAGAATGCCTAGTTGTGTCTCAGTACAACTTTGATATTTGCTACCACTTTCAAATGTTGGTGACACAAGAAATGAAAACCTAAGGTCTTACAGAGTCTACCCATCTCATATAAGTTTGTTTGCCCCAGTATTGGCTTATAACCTAGCTAGGAAAACATATTGGTTAGAAACATTTGGGCGAATCTATTTTTATGGATGAGAATGCATACTTAATCTCGGGGTCCACTCTTTGGGTTATATACTCAGTTAGGTTTGACACATACCTGATATCTTATATGTACCATTAGGGTGCTACACAGAAGAATCTTGTGCCCCAAGATCCTCCATGCTCTGCCTTGTCATCTCTGCCCCCGCCCCCAGTGTCCCTAGTAACCAATGGTCTCTTTTCCTTCTGTGTTGGTTTGAATGAGAATGGTCACCATAGGCTAACATGTTTGAATGCTTGGTCTGAAGTCGTAGAACTGTTTGGAGGAAGATTAGGAGGTGTCGTCTTTTTGGAGAAGGTGTGTCATTGAGGGTGGGCTTTGAGATATCAAAAGCCCATGCTATTTCCAGTGTCTCTCTTTCTCTGCCTCGCTATTGTTGTCTCAACATGTAAGCTCTCAGCTACTGCTCTATAGTCATGCCTGCCTGCCTGCCTGCCTGCCTGCCTGCCATCCTGTCATGATGATCATAGACTCTCCTCTCCTTTGGAGCCATGAACCCCAGATTAAATGCTTTCTGCTATAAATTGCCTTGGCCATGGTGCTTTTTCACTGCAGTAGGAAAGTAAGTCACTATCTATAATTTTTGCCTTCTCCAGAAATTTATATAGCTCGAGTCATAAATTACGCAGGCTTCTTAGGTTGGATTCTTTCATTTAACAATATGCATAAATCTCTTTTTTTGTGGCTGAAAACTCCTTTTTCATGTTGAGTAATTCTACTGGACAGGTGCCACACAGATTATCCCCTTGGAGAGCCTATTGAAGGACAGCTACAAGTTTTCTGGTTTGGAACAATTAAAAACAGTTATTGGCCAGGCTGTGGTGGTGCACACCTTTAATCCCAGCACTCGGGAGGCAGAGGCAGGTGGATCTCTGTGAGTTCGAGGCCAGCCTGGTCTACAAGAGCTAGTTCCAGGATAGGAACCAAAAGCTACAGAGAAACCCTGTCTTGAAAATTCCAAAAACAACAACAACAACAAAAAAACCCAGTTATTATTGACAGTTGTATGCCATTGCACAAACATACATTTTTCACTGCACTTTGGAAAACATGTAGGTGTTTGCTTGCTAGATCATGTGGTCAGTCAACATTGAACTTTTTACAAAACTGCCAAATTGTCTCCCAAATCAGCTATACCAGCTGACACCCTATTGATAAGAAATTACCATTTTTATTGTTTTCCACCTTCAGAAGGACTTGATATTAGTGTGCACGTATATGTCAATTTTAGTTATGCATATATAGGCATGTAGTGGTACTGCATTATTGTTTTAATTTGCAGTTCCCTTATGATGCATGCTTATTGACCATCTGTTTATGTTCTTTGGTAGATGTCAGGAGCCATTTTCCTAAAGATTATAGCAGGGACTATTGTCCTAAGGATGTTTGCAGGGAGCCCCACACCCAACTATCTTGAGAGCTATCTGTTAGCGAAACCCGCCCCACATTCCAACTACCTGGAGAATTGTTTGTGGTTGGAATCACAAAAGGAATGATTCCGCTTGCATAGAGAACACTAGGTGTGTAGACTTGTGACCATCGCTGCCCCGGCAAGGTCCCTTCTTGTCCTTGCCATGCCCCTGCCCCCACCCCAAGCCAAATTCCTCATTCAAGGGCTCTATAAGCTACAACCATTTCGCTAATAAAGTGAGACCTTGACAACAGAATCTTGCTTGGTCTCCTTCCTGTCTCTCACCCACATCTTTTCCAGATAGCACCTCTTTCGGGACCTTGGAATAACTGACCCACTAGGCGGGTTACAGGTAGAGTATCTGTTTAGACCTTTAGTCCAATTTTTGGTCAGGTCATATATATATATATATATATATATATATATTTATATGTATATTATGTATAAGTATGAAGAGTTCTTAGTATATTTTAGGTTATAAATGTTTTATTTGATATGCATTTTGCAAGCATTTTCTTCTAGTCCATGCTTTTGTCTTTTCATGCTGTTGTGTTTTTTACAGGGCTTCAAGCACAGCTTATCCATTGTTAATAACTGTATGTTTGTGTTTGTGCACAGGCGCCTGCACACACACACCTGTGAGTGAACATGTGGAAGCCAGAGGAGGCTGTCAGGTGTCCTTCTCCATCTGTGTCTTTCTGTTTCCTGGCTGCCACGAGGCGAATAGCTCCCCTCTCCACTCTCTCACCACTGGAGTGGTCTGCCTTGCCTCAAGCCCAAAGTAATGGAGCCAGCCAAGCAGAACTGACTCTGAAACCCAAGCAAAAGTAAACTTTCTTCTTTCTTTTTCTTTTAAGCTGTTTTCTCTGAGTATTTATTGCGACAACTAATCCACAACTTGTAGCTAACTTGAAGCTCCCTGCATCCTGGGGAAGCCGGGGAAAGCATTTTGACAAGCAGCTGCTACAGTGCTTTGTAACGTGTGAGATGAAGCAGAAGTTTGCATGTAAAGCTACATCACATACTGTGTGTGTGTGTGTGTTAAGATTTTCTTTCACCTTTAGAGCTGGGTGTCATTGTCTTCAGACAGCCAATCAATTTGAAGGATCTTCTTTGGCATTTCAGAAGGAAATTTTCTAGTCCACAGGACCATAAAGCCAGGCCTAGACAAACTTCTCAGTTCTCTAAGTAGTGGGTTTCAAGCTCAATGCACGTAAGTCTTGCTAGAGCACTCTAAAAAACCACCAATGCCTGGGTCTTACCTTCACCAAACTGAATTGGAGTCTCCAGGCTGGGGCCCAAGGCATGCATCCCTCCACAGGCGATTTGATCGTATGGCTTGGGCTTAGAACCACTTACCTAAGCGTATGATGCTCAGGCTGTTCCCTTTTGAGGTGAACTAGAATTCGGTAATGTTATCTGAGCAAAGATCCTACACCCACTCCTGTGGAGGAGGCAGCTGATAAACTCTTTCTTCTATGACATCACATGTGGCTAATCCACAAGAAGAGATGTGGGTTTCCTTCTTAATAAAAATGTACCTTCTTCCAAGAGAAGAGGAGGAGGCAGAATTGAAACCCACCAAGATAATTGAAGTAAATAACTCCAGTCTCGGATGACAAGAAGTTCTTCTACATATGCATTAAATAAAGGCAAGCCTCACTTCTAGAAGAAACAATGTGTACTGAATCTTCCCCTCTTTGCCATCATCTAGAAATTTCCACACTAATTTGCAGTTGCTGGCACATTTCTTGTTACTGAGAGAACAGTCTTCTTCCTCCGATAGTCTTTTCCTGTCTTTAAACAAGTTAGTAGAAGAGGTGGGGGGGAGGGGAGGAAAGAGATGTCTTGGTATGTTTTAAGGGGAACATGAGAAATCTTATCCAACTAGGAACCAAAATACACATCTTCCCCCTGTCCTGCTGCCAGTCTGGCTCATTCAACAATTGCCTGAAAGAAATAATAGGGATGATTTTGTTCTGTTTTGGTTTTTTTGAGACAGGGTCTCTCTATGGAACCCTGGCTCTCCTGGAACTCACTATGGAGACTAGGCTGGCTTCAAACTTTTACAGAGATCCCCCTGGTTCTGCCTCCCTAATGCCTGGGTTAAAGGCTTGAGCCACCACACCAGCTCAAGGAGGAGTTTATGGAGTAGTTCCTGCCTAACAGATTGGCCAACATTTGGCAGATCTGTGATGAATCAAGCCCCTGGAAGAGGGTAATTTGGAGGAACACATAGTCTGGAAACAACACTCTGCATCTGAAATAAAACAAGAGGCCATGTATAGAGGTTTTCTACAAGGAGTAGATGAGGAATGAGGCGCACTGACCTGCTTCAGAAGGTAAGCTGCTTTTCTTCCAGGATGACAGGGTGCTCCACCCTTCTGGGCTTGGGGTTGCTGGTTCAGTGTGTTGATTCAGTGTACCTAAGTCCAGAGGTGGTGGCCATAGAGTCCACGGTTCTTCAGCGAGAAGAAAGTGAAAAGAGCTAGTATCTGAAACCATGAGAAGAAATGGAGAGAGATGAGCAGACCCAGGGAGTGGGTGCCTACACCAAGGTTCCTACTTCTCAGATCTGTTTGTAATTCTGTGTGCTACTAGTTTGTCTCTGCGTTAGGGGAAGCTTCCATGGACCACAGAAGTTGGTTCTTGTGTTTAGAATAGACTAGTAGCCTGTCACCAATCACATGACAATCATTAGTGAGCGCCCAGGGAAGAGATGGTCAGTAGAGTAACTGCTTAGCTGGCCTCCCCATCATGGGAAAATGACTCAAGATCTGTATTCTGTCAATGTTGTGATGGAAGGCAATGTCTTTGTACATCATCATCATAGCTTCCGTTAGATTTGTATGCTTAGTGTCTGGGACATGCCAGGTTTATTTAGAGTAGAACACATTGGACCTAGAGAGCCTAAGAGGGGACCCATAATGCATTTACACAGTCAGGAAGATGAAAGACAGAGGGACAAGAAGACCAGGAGTCGTGGTCCCCAACACAAGCTTTGGAGCATGTCTTTTGCCTCTTGTCTCTGTGGTATTTTTCCAGAACTTGACTTTAGATTCAGACAATACAACAATGAGAGCAATATCCATCAGCATCTAGCCCATCCCAGAAGCAGCATCCTTGGTTAGTCCGCTCGGGCTTTGTACCTCTCCCTGTCCTTGCCTTCCTCTCTGGCTTCCCTTTGGGCTGTGTGAAGGTTGGATGGTAGCAGTAAGAGAAAATACGGGTTTCTTATTCAGTTTTCTTTTGGCCATAGCCTCTGGAACAATACCATCTTTCATGAACCTCTACGACACCTCACTGATTATGGTGTTAGCCCTCAGAATATCGCCTCCCTTGATGGAACACACATAGCAAAATAAGTTTGGTGAAGGCGAGCCTAGAGAAATTTTCCCTTGTCCCAAACCATTTCCACTTGTCTCAAAGTTAAAGATCTGGGTCAGTGAGGACGAGGGAAGAGGAGGAGGAGAAAGGGATGGGGCAGGTACCCTCCCCAAAGGCATGTCTTCCTCACCTGCCTTCTACTTCCTCCACCTAGGTCCCAGTCCTCAGAGTTTCCAACACCTCCCAGAATAGCGACACCAGCCCGGGACCAAGATTTCAACAGGAGCCCATGGGGAACATTTGGCATTTGAACAACGCCTTCCCCTTCCCGTTTTGTAGCTCGGGATTATCTCCACCACTCAAACTTGGGTCATCTCAGGATCTTTGTTCTCATGTTTTTGTTTGAGTTTCTCTCTGAGGCTCCGCTGCCAGCAAGCCTGTCTACCCAGCCCTGAGGGTTTGGCCATTTACTGACACTCTTTCCTCTGTTTACAGTGGCGCAAAGTTCCGTTCCTTTGGGTCCCGCGTTGTCTCCCATCCGGCTCCCGAGGAGGAGGATTGCTTTCGCACGATGTAGGTTTGATGGAAACAAGCCAGCTGCAGCTGTTACCTGGGACGGCTCCCCTTCTGCCTCTCAGCCACACAGTCGTGTCCGCCCTTCTCTGACATGCAGGGATTTTCGCGGCCGCTCTGAAAGCTTTCAGTGGAGAGAGGAGCAGACTGAGTCCCATTCTGTCTTCTGTTGCTGCTGACCACCAGGCTTAAGAGATGGCTTTTTTTTTTTTTTCCCCTGCTTGATTTTCAGTCCCACACTGTGAAGACTACATTAGGAGCAGTTGAGCAAGAGTGAGCCCAAAAGTCCTCTTGCTCTTGTTTTACAACTCATGCCTGCCTACCTCCCGGGCTTCTGCCAGCTTCTAAATTCCATGCTTCCAAATAAGACAGTAACATATTCGACTCTGTGGATTGCTAACAGATTCTTGGACCAGAGCACACGTTACCCCCAATGTGCCTGACTGGATAACAATGTAAAGTACAATGGGGTAACATATGCAATGCATTGTCTTTCCTTTTCAAAAACTCATTTTATAAAACTCCTTAATTGAATCAGGCTTGAACTTCCTGTGGCATGAAACCAAATAGAATTACATTGATGCTAAAAATGTAAATGCATCCCAGATACCACGGCTGATATATAGTTGGGGATTACTGAAGCCTGAAGGCTTGTGTGAGCACTAAGATGAGAAGGGAGACTCTTAGGATTCAGGTATCTGACGAGTAAACATTTATGGGAATGTCTTAAACATTTTGCTTTCTTAGGATGGTAATACTATCATTGACTTTGGAATCCCAGGAAGACTTCTGCGGGAGCACTGGCTCATTCTCCAGATGATAGAAAGGATGCCGAGGAGGGGAAAGGAGACATAATTTTAGGGTACGTCCTGGGTCCCCAGAACTAGGGCCAGATCCTATCCAGCACACCCTGGTTCAGCTTCGACTGTCAGTCACTGCCCTCCACACTGAGGCTGTCTTGAAGTCACCTCAAGTGTTGGGAAATCCCCTCCAGACCTCTGTCGGCTCTGCCCCTCCTTATTTCACCAGCGTCTGCTCAGGAGAGTGGGAACCGAAAGGAATGCCGGCCTCCGTCCGTCTCCAGCCCCATTCTGCAAACAAGATGCCCACAGAGTCGCAGAGGTCTCTCAGTGCTGCCTTGTGCCGATTCTTTTCCAGCCACTCATCTCAGTGCAGAGATCTACTTCTTATGATTCATTCACAACGGGTCTATGGATGGCCACAGCCTGGTGACACTGCTGCTCATCGGGTCTCCCTGCCTCATGGCATGTCAGGGGACATCCCTTGGAGCATGCATAGATGAAAGTTATCTTCCTTTTAACAGTGTAGACAACCCCCAGTGGTGGAAAACTATGTGGGAGAGGCTGATCTGGGGGCCGGGGTGCAGGCTTTGACTTTCTTTCTTTCCCGGTGCTGTTGCCAGGCAGACTAGTTACTGACACGAAGCTCCTCCTTGATAAGTTGAACTGTTCCCCCTCCCAACTTCATTATGCCTGCAGCCGGAGCTCTGCTGTAGAGGAAGCCATGCCAGACACCCTGATTCATGCGCTTAAAATATCTGCCGGCCTGGGTATGCGGGTGAGGCGACAAATCTGGGAAACAGACAGCAGATCAGCAGATGCTCTGAGCATGCGCGGGAACGGCCGCAGGATGGAGGAGTGCGCCCTCCAACCTGGGGTTAAGACCCTTAGGAGGTGATGGATACACCTTCGAGACTGGGGGATTGGTGGGTGAGGAGCGCAGGGGCTGATGGTGCAGAAGAGGTCTTAAAACCATTACCAAACATCCGGGGCGCCAGGTGAAAGACTAGAGTGAAGTTTGACCTGAGCCTGTAGGGCTGGGCTGGAAAAGGAAACCCCAGTGTTAAGAGAATCTTCATTTTGTGTATGCATTTTACTAGGTACTGGTCCAGAGCATTCTGGGAAAGTACTGTATCACTGAGTTATGACTGACCCTTGAACAAATTTGTTTTAAGGTTGGTAAGATGATACAATGGGTAAAAGAGCCAGTCATTTAAGCCTGGCCACCTGAGTCCCATTCCTAGATCCTAAATGGAGGGAGAGACCCAGCTGTTTAAAGATGCCCTCGGAGCTCCACGGGCACACGGTAGCATGCCCATACTAGTGTATATGCATCTGCACATGCCCTCCCCATATAATAATAATAATAACATTTTAAAATCAATTATAATTTTTTTTTATTTTAAAACAGGGGTCTTGCTAAGTCACCCAGGCCGTCTTCAGACTTGCTATGTAACCCAGGTCAGCCTTGGATTTGCTGCCCTCCTGTCTCTGCCTCCTGAGTAGCTAAGATTATGAATACACTCCATCAAGCCTGGCAGAGAATGTTCTGTGAAGAACTTGGACCAAGTCCGGGCTTCAGAGAGAATTTGGCTTTGCCTTCACCAGGTGCCACACCAGAATAGAAAATTACAATATAGAGAATCTGAGGTTGGGGGACTCCTTAAATAACTGTATACACTTGTAAGGAAATGAAGTAGGGATGTTCCAGAGGTATGCATCAGAGAGAGCCAAGAAAGCCCCATGAGTGGATCTGGAGGAGATAGGGCCAAGGACTCCACCATCTCTGAGAAAATGCCGGCTGTGGCCCTTCCTTTATGAACAGCAACGGAGCCACCCAGCCATTTCCAAAGCACAGAAGTTAAATACTTTGGTCCCATAGCTGATTGCAGGCCATCAGATCCTAGGCTTTCTTGGCCTAGGTCTGGAGACGGCTGATTTCCTCACATGCCTGGACCCTAATTCCAAAGTAGTTTCAGAAACACGAGAGGAAAGAGGGTTTGGACATGAAGCTTAGATTGCTGGCCTTCAGCCATTTGGCCTTACAATCAGATCAGACACTGGGGTGCTGGGAGAACACCAGGAGTATAGGTGGGAAAGAGCGGGAGGTGCCATCCAGCAACAGGGCTAGCTTTTCAGGCAGAGGCCCAGGAAAGAGCTCGGAGTAAATTAACAGGTGCCGGGATCAGTGGCTCCAGCAGGCTGGAAGGTGCAAGGCCGGGGATGCAAGCTGATCTCTCTGCAAAGAACAGAAAGTGAGACTCTATGGGCAGGGAAGTGAGACACTGAGAAATGGCTGGACCTTCTGTTTTCCTACGCAGAGGGAGGAGCAGAAACGAAGGACAGGTAATCCCCTCCCTTTCTTTCCAGGAAAGCAACCAGGGCTTTGTAATTTCAAGACCTGGGTGCCCTGACCCCAGGCAGGGGATTCCCACCTGTGGGAAATGAAGAGCTTTCTAAAGAGGGGGTAGAAGATTCTGCCTTGTGAGTAAGATCATGTCAGGGCCTGACTCACTAAAGATGGCTGGATCCTGGGAACTTGGAACACAAGAGGGGTTGTATTGTGGGGTTTCCCCCCCGAAAGCATAGGGATGTTACCAGCTTTCTGTCCCAGCTGTGGACAGATGAGGGACCGCATGTGGATCTTAGCTACTGTGTGGTTTTCAGAGTTGGGATATAGGTTCTTTAAGGGAGACAGCAGGTGTGAAGAGAAATCTCAAGAACCTAGGGCATAAGTACTCGAGAGAAAGCAGGAAGCAGGACGTGGTGGGGGCTTCAAAGAACAGAGACACGGAAGGACAAGGGTGCCTCACAGGGATGGACAACACGATGGGTGATGAGTTTCCCTTGAGCTTGTCCAGGGTCAAGACATAAGCGTCTACAACCTCTGAGTCTTTTTCATGGTCTCCCTGTTCCTACGCCATGGAATGACTGACATGGATTTCCAGCATCTAGCACATTCTATTCTGCTCACGACCTGGGCCACAGCAATAGCTACTCGGCTGTGTACTAGTCTCTAGAAATAGATCCGTGTGCGCCTTGGGGTGAGAAATAAATGTACTGCAGATTGGCTGAGCCCAAGGTGTGGACGAGAAACATTGCCTAGGTGTTCGCATTTAATGAAAATGGCTTCTACTCTTTTCCTTGTCGGACTACAAGCCTCACAGCTGTGCGCAATCCGGCACTGACAAGCACAGGTCCGCGCCCAGCTTGCACAGAAAGCCCCGGTGTGCTCAGCTTTCACCTAGACTCCCACCACAGAGCCGGCCAATGTCTCTGATGCACCGTTGACTTTGGCACGGCTTTCTGAGCTCAGTCCCATCTCTGTGTCACCCTCCCGGTAAAAACAAGGCCATTGTATCATGGCCTGACACTGCTTTCCTGTCTTCACTCAACCAGCGTGATCCATGTCCCGCGATGTCCTGTGTCCAGTTGGGGCCCCATGGGGCGGGACTAGAGGCTTCTTTGGCTTGCTCCTATCCCAGCACCCTCCCCTCTCTTCAGCCCTGCTTTCTAAGACAGCTCTGTGTTCACCGTCATTTCTCCAAGGTTTAGCTTAACCGCATCATCAAGGAGCCCTCTTCAAAACTCAGGCGGCAGACCCTGCTTGTTCCTCTGTACTCGGCCCATTGTTTCCTCTCAGCCCACACTGTAATTAGTTCCTTTTTACTTACTGGATAGGAAATCCCCAAGGAAAACGAGCCATATCTATTAACTCCCTAAGCCTTGTATAAATACAGGTGGAGTGTTCTTAATGCCATTTACAAATCCAGTTTAAAAATGAATAATGAGCAGATGGAATGACTAAATTATATCTGTTTTTTTTTAAAAAACTTGTTTTTAATTTTACTTTTTAATGTAAAATTATGTGTCTGGGTGTTTTGACTGCTTTTATGTCTGTGTACCACTTGTGTGCCCCGAGGAGCTCAGAGAGGGCATTGGATCCCCTGAAACTGTTGTGAGCCTCTGTGTGGGTGGTAAGAATCCACACACCCTGGAGGACCAGACAGTTCTCATAGCTGCAGAACCATCTTTCCAGCCTTACTACTATCATCATTATTATTGTTTGACTTATGTTCATTGAACATAGGACTGAGTTTCATAAGAACATTTTCATGCAAGTTGATAGCATCCTTTGACCATGTCCCCCAAATATATGGTTTCTAGATGTCATGAACTACCAAGTCACAAAACTGAGGTAAAGCTGTCTATGGGAAGATACATTTTTTAAAATATTTATTTATTAAGTATACAATATTCTGTCTGCATATATGCCTGCAGGCTAGAAGAGGGCACCAGATCTCATTACAGATGGTTGTGAGCCACCATGTGGTTGCTGGGAATTGAACTCAGGACCTTTGGAAGAGCAGGCAATGCTCTTAACCTCTGAGTCATCTCGTCAGCCCGAAGATACATTTTTTTAAATTAAAAAACAAAACAAAACAACCCCCCCAAAAAAAACAAAACAAAAACCAAGACAACAACAAAAAACCCACCAGGCATTGTACACAGCAATCAGGAGGCAGAGGCAGGTGGATCTCTGAGTTTGATGCTAGCCTGGTCTCTAGTGCAAATTTAGGACAGCCAGGGCTACACAAACCTTGTCTCAAAAAACCAAAAATTT